TGTTTTGCTGCATTGCAGCCAGATTTGGACAGCCATGTTTTGCTGAAATTAAGTCATAATGACCTGGGTTATGCATGATGCTAATACTCAGCATGACGTGTTAAGTCACAGCCCTAAAATCTCTTCTCACTTGAATTTAGCATGCATGAGCAGAACTCTGTGTGTATATGAACACTATATTTAAAAACCAATTTAGTCTGGTCTGTGATCCTGCATTTCAGTCAATATTCAACTAAGAAAAAAAAGGGGGGAGGAATGTAAAGGAACAACCAGCCTCCCTAGGCACTAGGCCCACTTCCCTCAATATGGAGAACTTTACCCAAAGAATCTCCTTTTTTTAAAATGTGATGCTTTGGGGCTTAATAGTCAGCATCACAGGAATTCCCATGAGGTATCTTCTGAATGCAACCTTGCCTTGATCTTTTATTTGGAAAGAAGCTTTAATTCTAAGTCATTGTGCATATGGGTTTTATGCAAAAGTGGCAACAGGACAATATGGAAAGCTTCTTTGTGATGGCTCTAAAAACAGCAATGGTTCTTCCAGGGAAGAATAGCAGATTGAAGACAGCTCCATATAAGTAAAGCCAACAGTTACAGTTAAGAACAGGGAGCTGACAAAAATATTGGCTCCTTCAACCTTCTCTGGGCAAAGAGAGGACATGACATTGCCCAAGTTTCGCTCCATATGGTTGTTTCTCAAGAGGAGCCTGTAAGACAGTTTCCAGAAGGTAGGAGAACTGGGAACTGAGAGAATTTGCCACTGCAATATGACATCCAGCAGCAACCAGAGTCCTTCAAAGGACACTGAGTTTGTACTTTCTTCACTAATCACTTTTCTAAAATTGCCTATTAACTACTTTAACGAGGTTAGATACCCTCAAAATGATGAGGCTGGAAACACTGGGGGGGGGATGTCCTTAAACCTTAATATAAGAAAATGAAAGTGTTTCTTTAAAAGCTTTAAGAATTTAAAATTAACAGCAAAAAGCAAAACAAGGTTTTAGCTATAGAAAGTTTAAATGGATTAAGGACTCCCAAAACATTGGAACATTTGATTTTAGCTAGTAGTTTAATAGACTTTGAGATTAATTCTAAAAAACTAAATATTTTATAGGAAAGAAAAATATTTTCAATATTGGAAGCATAATAAGTTAAGCAATTTATAATGGTGTTCAGGAACAGTTTTAAGGAATTATAGTGGGATTTTGATGCCAGCCGTGTTGTCTGTTCTTAGGAATAGTCTGTTCTCAAATGAAACTTATAAAAGGATTTGCAATAAATCTGAGACAGCGAATAAGATTTTTTTTTATTAGACACACACACACAAAATTAGATGAGGCTTAGGGAGTTCCGTTTTGCAGCGCTTCGGGGCAGGCAAGAATCCACGATCATGCGTGGTTTCTGCCTGTGCTCACCGCTAGAGTGCCCTGAGCCACCCAGCTTCAGGGCTAGCTACCTCCGTAGAAGGTGGTGAAGACAGGGGAGATCTGGCAGGGTCAGGAGAAATTGCACCTCTCCTCCCTAGCTGGCTAAACTCCCTTTTCCGAAGGCGGTAAGAGCGATGGTCAGAAATGGCCGCCACAAAGAAGCGCTCAGCCAGAAAAGAAAGTGCAGGAGGAAGTTAAGAAGTGAAAGTTTTTGGCTGACTGGGGAAAAAAAAGCAACAACTAAGGTACCCTGGAATTTAAAATCTATAAAAGATACATCGTTCCCAGGGACTTACAAGAGGCGAATGAAAGTTAAAAGGGAAAGTTTTTTTTTCACTCTCCTTCCTAACGTTGACAGCGAACAGAAACGAATAAGAAATCAGAAAAACCCGCTTTGGCATCAATAGGTAACTAAACTGGATATCTAAATGTCAAGGGGACAATAAGGATTTCTGAACATTTAAAAAAAAAATTTTTTTTGCTGTAAGTGGGAAGGGAGAGGAAAAGAACTGGAGCAGGATTTGGAAGGAAGGAGGAGATTGCCTAGAACTTGAAAGAATCATTAAAAACTAACAAGACTTCTAAAAGATACATTTTAACTGGAATTTTGTAACTAAACAGTAACCCCAGGAAGAGAAAGTGAAGAAAGATTAAAAGAAACAGCTTATTTGGACTGTTTGGTGACTTTGGGACTTTTGGAAATTATATTTGAAGGACTAAAACACTTGGGTGGTTGTTTGGAAAAAAATTTCTTTTCTTTCTACAATGGCATCACTTTTGGATGAACTGAAAATTGAATTCAAAAAATACAAAGAAGAGGAACAAGAAGGGAAGGGCTCTCTTGGCTCTCTTTTTCAATTCTTAGAAATGGCAATTTGCACCTATGAGAAACTGACTGTGCAACAAGAAGATTGGGACAAAGAAGAAGCCATCTTTGATGAACAAGTAACTTTATTTGGGGAAGAAAGGGGAAAGGAGGAAAAGAAAATGGAGACTTTAAGATTTAAAAAAACAACCATAAAAGGAAAAAAATAAGGTGAAAAGTGGATATAATGTTAGAAAACAACAGAAAGGGGGAATACAGAAGAGAGAAGTGGAGGTGGAGAGACAGGGGGGTAAAAAGGACAGGGAGAAGAAGAAGCAAGGGAGGAAGGAAGGGATAAGGAGTTTTAATGGTGTGAAGCAAGATGTGAAGAAACATGATTTATTTAGAGATAAAGGGTAAAATCTTAATTGACAAAGGGATTCTGCAAAGGTACATAAGATTGTGTTGTTATATTTGTATTAGAAATACTGTTAGAAAATTGGAAACAACATGTGATTAAAAAGTGGGATAAAATATTCAGTGTAATTTAGTGAAATTTTTGTGAATAAAAGGAAGGTAATGAAATAAATGAGAGAATTGAAGTAGGAAGGAATGGAACATTTTAATGATACAATGTTTTAAAATATAAGTGAAGGGGGGGAAAATAATTATGGAAAGTTTATAAGTGTACCCATAAAAGTATATTTAACTGAAAAGTAATGTGCAAAATGTTCAAGATTTAAATGAATATTAATATTAATGATAGATTTGAATTGGTAGGGATTGTTGTTTTAATTATATTACATATTTATAATTTTTCTTTTTTTAAAATATAGTGTGTAACTTTAGAATGTACTTTAGAATCCAAATGGAAGTTATGTACTATACTAAGTGTTATAAATTTAGGGGAAAGAGATAAAGGCATCATACTCCAATTAGTGTACAGGAGAAATTTTGTTTAAAGAGAAAAGATAATAGACAGCTGGAAACAGGACAGACAAAGAATAATAAGTATAATGATCTGAACTGAGATGAGATAAATAAAATAAAACCAAGAAAGTTAAAAGAGGGAAGAAGCTATATAGAAAATGTAAAATGGCAATGAGATAAAATATGGAATGGTATATAAAATGAACATGAATTTGAATTTGTGTCTGTACGAAGAGATGTAACCCGGGATCAAGCTGCTTTCAGAAAAGATGTTTTATGTTTTTATATTTTATGTTTTGTTTGTTTGTGTATTGTTTTTGAAAATCAATAAAATTTGTTAATAAAAAAAAATAGATGAGGCTTTAAAAATTAAAAAGGAAGTAAGAATGCCACTCCCAGAGAATAATTGGAATAATTTATTCTTGCTGGACTAATAAAATATGCTTTCTAAAATTATAAAGAAATCTGAGACAAGGATGTACAGTCCTCTGAATAGATTAAAGAGTAAAATTGTTTTACACAAAAGGAAGGAACACATAACTGGTTTATTCAATGAAGGTTAAAATGGAACATGTTATTTTGGATAGGTCTTGTTGGATCTTGGTGACAACTGGACTGGAAAAATGTTGTGTATTGGATTTGCAACAGGTAATATAGCATTTAAGCCTTTCCCCCTACATTCACTTTATGTATCATTATCTGACAGGATCTAAATTGGCTTAGTATCTAATTGTTTTTTTTTCTTTAAAGTAAGGGATCTTTGTGATCTTGCTCTCTTTAAATGAGATATTGTCCCTTTATTCATGTTAAATTTAGCCTTTTGTTTATAACAGGATACTGGGACCACTTTAATGCCTTGTGAATTAGTTTATAGTTTACAGTTAAGAGCTGAGATATGGAATGATGCATTTTATATTTATTAATAAATGTTATTACTTTGGGGCTCTTTTCAACTATTTGTGATGCCTGGATAGGAGGTTATTTATTCGATTTGCCTTTACAATAGTTAAGAGTTGAGTTGTGGGATGGAGAATTTTATATCTGTTAATTAAGAGGAAGTGAAAAGATACGGAAATTATTTATACTTGTGCAGAAGATGGGAAGTTTTTTCTTTTTTCTCTCTTTCTATTTTTTCTTTCTTTTCTGTATTCTTGCACTTTTTATTCACTCTATTTTTTTCCTTTCCTTTTTAGCACGTATTATCTTTTACTATGCTATATTTATTTATTTTCTCTTAAATCCCTTAATAAAATTAAAAACAATAAAAGACACAGGATCAGCAACCAAGATTATTTCCTTGGGGAAACTAGATCTATTTGACAGGATGTCCATCTCACACCAAGAGCTATGGTCTATTGATAGGCTGTGACTGTTTCTGTCTCTGTCATCAATCTCACTCTAGAATTTGCCTTGCTCAGAAGTAAAATCACATTCCAACTCCTAATTATTTTTAAAAGGAATTTGAAGGACCTGGATGTCCCTAACATTGTTTTAACCAGAAGCTCAGAAAGGTTAAGGAGCCTCTCCAGTTCAGAATGTGTTGTTATGTTGAAAAATGTGGCAACTTCATCCTAATCCTAGTAGTGCTCAGATTCAATCAAGCAATCAAGAAAAATATTTAAAGAAATCTAGATTGAGACACCATCGTGAAAGAGGGGTGAAACAGGGGTGCCCATTTGTTTATTTTTTTACTTTTGTCAATTGCTTTCAAGATAATAGGTATAAGTAAAAACATAGTTATGAAAACGTATGATACGTATAAGAAAAATAAATAAATAAAAGAAACAATAGAACAGGGATGGTAGGAACGTTGGTGCGCTTATGCACACCCCCTACAGATCTCTTAGGAAAGGGGTGAGGTCAATAGCTAAGGTTAAAGTTTTTGGGGTTTGGGGAAGAAACCACAGAGTCAGGTAGAATATTCCAGACTTTGACCACTCTGTTGCTGAAGTTGTATTTCCTGCAATCAAGTTTGGTGCAATTAACCTTGAGTTTGTATCTATTGTTTGCTCTTGTGTTGTTATGGTTGAAGCTGAAGTATTCATTGACAGGTAGGACGTTGCAATGTATGATTTTATATACTATACTTAGATAGGATCAAAGACAGCGTAGTTCTGGGTTTTCTAGGTCTAGAATTTCAAGTCTGATGGCATAAGGTATTCTGCAACAAGTAGAGGAGTGGAGAACTCTTCTTGTGAAATATTTCTGGACTTTCCCAACTGTGTTAAAATCAGATACATAATGTGGGTTCCAGACTGATGAGCTGTATACAATGAGCTGTATTGGTCTAGCAATGTTTTGTATGCTCTAGTTAGTAGTGTTATCTTACCAGAGAAAAAGCTACGTAAGATAAGGTTAACAACTCTTAATGTCTTTTTGGCTATGTAGTTACAGTGGGCTCTAGCACTTAGGTCATTAGAGATGAGTACTCCAAGATCCTTGACAGAGTTTGGATCATCAACAAGGTCTTGACTATTCAGCCTGTATTTTATTTTCTGATTTTTTTTGCCAATATGTAGGACAGAGCATTCATTTGTTGAGATTTGAAGTTGCCATTTGTTTGACCATTCTGATACATAGTCAAGTTCTTTTTGAAGGGTAGCAGTATTGTCTGTGATGTTGAATAGCTTTACATCATCAGCAAAGAGAATGCAGTTGCACTTGATATGACCACAGAAGTCATTTATGTAGAGTATGAAAAGAGTTGGTCCTAGAACGCTGCCTTGGGGGACACCACTGTTGACAGCTACAGAATTTGATAGGACGCTCCCAATTTTGACCATTGTCAAAACTGTTTGACAGGAATGCTTCTATCCAGTTGTGCAGGTGTCCAGAGATACCATAAGATTTTAGTTTTAGGAGTAGTTTGTCATGTACCACTGAATCAAAGGCTTTACAGAAGTCTATGTAGATTGCGTCTATTGCTTTGCCCTGATTGAGTTGTGTCATCCATATGTTTTTGCAATGTAAGAGTTGCAGATTATATGATAGTTTTTTTCTGAAACCAAATTGTTTATTAGAGAGTAGGTTGTTTATTTCTAAGTGGAGGATGATGGATTGGTTAATAATTGATTCCATGACTTTACAGGTGATGCAGCACAAAGAATTTGGTCTATAATTTTCAGTTAGGCTGGGGTCTCCCTTTTTGAAGATGGGGATGACCGTGGCTTGTGACCATAGTTTTGGCAAGGAGATGGTCCTGAAAGATTTTTCAAAAATTATTCTTAGAGGTTCAGCTAGGGCAGTGGATAGCTTTTTTAAGAAGTAGGCACATATTCCATCCGGTCCAATAGATAGAGATGGTTTTAGATTGCGTAGTGCTTTTTCAACATTGTCTTCTGTAAAATCAATATGTATTAGATCATTGTAGTTGTCTGTGGTTCAACTAGGAAATACTAGGCATGATCCATTGCTGTTTACAAATACTGAGCCAAAGAATGTCTTAAAAGAGGTTGGTTTAATAGTGTCGTTGTTGCAGTCTTTACCATTAGGTCCTTTCAGGGGTGGGATGGACCTTGAGTCTTTTAGTTTGTTGTTTACAAAATTGTAAAAAGCACGGGTGGAATTGCTGCGTAGAAGGTTTTCTTCTTGTTTAATGTGATAATCGGTGCATTCAGTTTTTATCTGGTGGCATAAATTTTTGTATCAGCTTTTGAAGTTGGCAACATGACCAGATTTGTTTTTCCGCCAAAGTGATTTCTTTTTGGATTGAAGCTTCCTTATTGTTATGGGTAATTTGTTTTTTCTGATTTTGGGAGTTATTAATGGTACATATAGTTTGATGACTCTTTTGACTCAAGTAAAAATATGTTGTAATGGTCTTCTACAATATTGCATCCAGTGAATAGAAATAGCTAATCAAGGAATTAGAGATCATTGTTTATAAGATCATAGTTGCCTTTTTTGAAGTTATAATTGGGGATTCCATTGTTGTGATGGTGTTTGTGTGGATATATATTGAGACAAAAGTCAATCATGCTGTGGTCACTGTTGGAAAAGGGTTCTTTAATTTGTATTCCATAAATTGAATTCAAACTATTGCAGATGAGATCGAGGCAGTTGTTAAGTCTAGTGTTGTTGGTTACTAGTTGTTCTAGTCCCAGATTTGTTACTGCATTGTAGAAGGTTGCATGTGTGGGTTCAGTTGTATATTCGTTAAGGGTCCAGTTAATATGAGGTAGATTGAAGTCACCAAGATAGATAAAAGTGTGTGGGCAGGATGCTACCCATATTAGTAGTGTATTTAGCTTGTTTGCATGTTCGATGTCATAATCAGGGGCTCTGTAACATAGTAAGAACCGAAATGTGATATTTAAGGACAGATCACAGATGAAGGTCTCAGGAATAGTAAGCTCCTGGGTAACTTGGATGTTTTTTAGATGTAGGGACTTTTTATAGAAGATAGCAACACCACCTCCTCTACGGATTTCACGATCTGATCGGTAAACATGATAGTCTATTACTGTGGTAATGGAGTCAGGGAGAGATGCATTGAGCCATGTTTCACAGACAAACATAATGTCGAATTTAGCCGTATTTAGTAAGAGGAGAAATTCAGGTATTTTATTTACAAGGCTTCTTGCATTGAGTAGCTTGCATTTAAGGCCAGTTGTGGTTGGAATAGAGGTAGTTAGGGGCATGCATGCCTAGTTTTGAGTGATGTTGGATTGGATGGGGTGGGGTTGCATGTGGAGTTGTGGGTTGTGGGACTTTCTTTTGACGCAATCAGCTCTGTAGTCAATGTATAGGTCCTTTTCTCCATTGTCTAGATGGTTTTTGAGTTCTGCGTGGAGTTCATGGGAGCGAATTCTTTGCAGTAATGGATAAATCTGGTCTTGAGTGAAGTTTTTTGTGGTTGGGATTTGTTTTTGCAATGGCGTTTATTGTATGAATGAATATGCGTTTGCTGGAAAATTTGCCCTTCTACGCGTGATCTCTTCTGTTTCTCACTTACCCATGTACCTTCCAAGAATAATCCAGGTCAAGAGTGTCAAACTCAAGGCCCATGGGCCAGATCTGGTCCACAGGGTGCTTAGATCTGACCTGCGGAGTCACCCAGGAAACAGTGATGGACTCACCCAGGGTGCCTCTCCCAGCAAAAATGGAGCTCGGGAGGGCCGTGCACGGTCCTACTGAGCTCTGTTTTCAGCTGCAATGGCCTCCTGCAGCATGCTGCCAGCGAAAACAGAGCTGGGAGGGCTGAACAAGCATGTCATTATATGAAAGTTCATGAACTGGAATAGGTCAGCCAATGGGAACTGTTTGGTGACTAAGACACAGCACCTGTTGTGAGCCAGACGGCTTGGAGACTGGGCATGACTTAGGGTTACTGGTCCATATATAAGAGTTAGTTTGTCCTTGGATCTTTGCTCCTCTGTATTATATTGCTTCTATGGTTATGACTTCTGGATTCTGAGTTCTGGTTCTGGGTATTGTATACATGCATCTTACTTTATATTGTTGTATATAAAGACATTTCTTTTATAAATGAATTCTGTTGAATTATTTACGTGTGATGGTTGGATTGCTGCAAACTCTGAGAGTGTGGCCCTCCCGAGCTCTGCTTTCACTGGCAGAGCATTGCAGGAGGCTGTCGCAGCCAAAAATGGAGTCTGGGAGGGGTGCCCCCGACACAAGTGATGTTGAGCTGGCCACACCCACCCTGGCCATGCCCACCCAATCCCCAAGATCAAACACAATCCTCATGTGGCCCTCAATGAAATCGAGTTTGACACCTCTGATCCTGGTGAAACAAGACAGTATTGAGTTCTGTGGGCAATTTCCTCTTGCTTATACAAAATACTTAGAGACTCGCCTGCCTTCTGGAATCCCTGTCCATAGTCAGTCACCATCAACCTTATACCATCCGATGACTTTCACCGATAAGCGGCATTAATTATTAAAGCAGAAATCTTATCAGTGTTTAAAGTGTGAGAAATCGACAAAGCAGCCAGCGTGGAAGGAATAAATCCAATACTGATAAACGGTTTAAATCAAATTCCAAAAGGTCAGCACTGCCAGCTACATCCAAACTGATGCCATTCTAAGCACATGATAATGTATCTCCGAGTCAGTTGTTTTTTTCCAAGGCTTGTATATCTCAAATCCAGCATTCATCTGAATGCTCTCTCACAGAATCAGCTTTGCAACCAAGGTAGTAGTAGCAACAGATGGATCAAACCAATCCAGGCTTTCAATCTCTTCCACCTTTTGCTCCAAGAGATAAATAATGAACATGCATTTCTCTTTTTATTTTGATTACCGTGTTTCTGATAGACTTCACAGAGCAGCTTGAATTAAATCAGGAAACATTTCAAGGACACTTTGCCTATATTGTTTTCTGGATGAGTAATGACAATGAAATGCAATTCCTTGAAAGGATGAGTGATCAATATGCAGAATGCTTTTCCCATCACCCACCAAACATGATAGATCACCCTTGCTTTCTCTGATCCTTAGCTGAAAAGCAGAACGAGACTAAATCAAAAACTCAAAACAAACAATTGGATGTTTTAGTGCTTTTCTGGCCAACGGCCACCCTGGGGATGATGAATATCAACCATGGTGTCAGCTATTTAAAAAGAAAAACAGGACAAAGCATTTTAGACCAGGGTAGCAACAAGTTAAAAACAAGTCCTAAAAAAAACCCATTTCATTTAACTAATGGTTATATTGATCATTTGGCAATTTTTCAAACATTTATATATGCAGGGGTGTTATTAGCCTGAAGACCAATAGAAGTTCCTCATCTAGTCTGTAAATAGTTGGGGTTGACTATGCTGTTGTCTATTTATTTCTTTGTTAGATTCTAATTTGTCTTTTCTTCAGGAGTTATAGATCTAGCAGATAC